CGAGGGTTCGGATCCCACATACGGACCGGTTCACGCTCACTGGCTGAGCGAGGCGCGGGAGCAGCGCCGAGGGTTGCAATCCCGTTGCCGGTCCCCGGTCCGGTACGGGGGCAACACTGAGGGTTGCGATCCGTTGCCGGACACGGAAAAAGACAAAAAGACAAAAAAAAAAAAAAGAAGAAGAAGATGCAGCTGTGTCTCCCCACTGGATATAGAGCTCAGTCGGTACCTTTGATGTGCAATACAAGGCTGAAGATGTTGGCTGAAGTGTTCTGCATATTCCAAGGATTTAATTTGAGTCGTTTTTCCCAGTGACAATATCTTGATAATCCTAGAATCTGAGTGATAGGTTTTATGTAGATTCATCAAATTATTCTCTACTTTGCATATTGTTTAAATTTTCATAATTAAACACTTTAGAAAGTCATCTTGGGCCCACTGGCAGTATGTGTCCCACTTTGGGGAAACTGGAGTGGTCAAACAAAAACATTTAGGGCACATGGGATGCTTTGGCAAGTCCGAAGAGTAGGGAAGTTTAGGCAGTTGGTTCAGTGTACCACTCTAAACTCATGGACTATACAAAGCAGAGCCAGCTTGGGTTCTGCCCATATGAAACCTCAGACCTAAGTAGTTTTGCTTGTTATGACAAAAGTATTCTTTGTACTCTCACCCCAGGACATATCAAGTAGGTTAAATATAGTGAGTTTGATTAAGAGATTTTCTTCAATTTAATACTTGTATTATGTACCATGCAAGTGTCCCACGATTCAAAGAAAGTCTTAAAATAAATTATAATGAAGGAATTATAGCGGGTTAAATATTTATTAACTGTATCAAGCCATATCCACTTGTTCCAGAATCACCCACAGTAACAGAGATGATACAATTCAGAAACTGACCCAGATCCTTGACAACATAAGCTGCTGGTAAGAGCTACCTCCAGAGTAATTCCAAGAAAATAAACCCCCCACTGTTGAAGCCACTTTTAGTTGATATAACATTGTTAAATAATAAGAAAAAATGTATATTTGGTTTCTGTTCTTGGTTCCTGGCAGTTGGCCCTGGGCTGCTAAAACCCTTGCGATTTTTTTTTTTTTTTTTGGCGGCTGGGGATCCATGTTACCAAGCTGTGCTCTAACCAACTGAACTAACCAGCCAGCCTCTAAGGCCCTTGTAATTTCCCAAGTGATAGGGGTGCTAGCTAGATCTTTTCTTCTATTTGGTCTTTGTCTCTGGTTCCTGATACAGATTTCCTAATCCCTTGAAATTTTCTGGGTGATAGGAGCATCTTTTGTTCTAATGAGACTTGTGGTGGGATTCTGGATGGTGATAGTCACCAGAAAGATCAGGCCATGATTAGAAGCTTGGAACTTTCAACCCCACTCCTCATCTCCTGGGAAGGGGAGAGGGGCTGGAGATTGAGTTAATAATCGCTCATGCCTGTGTGATGAAGCCTTTACAAAAATCCCTGAACTACATGGTTCAGAGAGCTTCTGGGTTGCTGGACTCATGGAGGTTCCTGGAGAGGGCATGGAAATTCCATACTCCTTCCCCCCGCCATACCTTGCCCTATGTATCTCTTCATCTGATTATTTATCTGTATCCTTCAAAATATCCTTTATAATAAACCAGTAAACTTGTTTCCAGTAAACCTGATGAGCTGTCCTAGCAAATTAATCAAACTTGAGGAAGGGATCAAGGGACCCCCTATTTATAGCCATTTGGTCAGAAGTACAGGTGACAACCTGTACTTGCAATTGGCATCTGAAGTGGGGGACAGTCTTGTGGGACTGAGCCCTTAACCTGTGGGATCTCACTCTAACTCCAGGTAGATAGTAACAGAATTGAATTGAATGAGAAGACACCCAGTTGGTGTCTGCTGGACAGTCGCTTGGTGCGTAAGAAAAACCTTCCACACACCTGGTGTCAGATGTAAAATATCATGTTGACTGTGTAAGAGTAGTAAAAATAGTCAGCTTGTTTTCTCCTTTCTCAAACAGACACCTATAGAAATTATGTCTGTATTAGGCTTCTTGGTTGCAGTGACAGAAGCCCAACTTGAATCAATGTAATTCAAAAAGATGGCTGTCTGGAAGGATGCTGGAGGTGGGGGTGGCTCACAAAATGAATCAAGGATTTTCAAGAACGAAGGCAGCTCCAGAGGACTCAGGGACTGGGACCAGGGATTTGATGACCTCAGCACACTTTCTTTGCATCTCTCTGGGTTATGGCTTCATTTTCTCAGACTTTTCCAGGTGGTGAAGGATGTGGCTGTAGGCTGCCCATTTTACAATGTCCTGACCACACTTCAACAGAAAAATCCCAGGGATCACAGCTTGTATCACATGCCCCTCCTGGACCAATCACTATGGCCAGATTGGTCTAATTTGGACCATCTGCCCATCCCCATGGTCAAGGATGGGGTGAATGGGGTGTGTTATGAAAAGGGAGAGGGGTCCTGGGCAGACAAAGATAATAGCCACCATAATGACCATAATCCTGGCAGTCAGGCAAATGCACTCGGAAGTGAAAGCAAAGCAGGAGGGTTTTCATCGTAGCTAAGAGCCTACGGTTCAGAGGCATAAAGATCTGGGTTTAGTCCTGGCCTCCCCAGATGTGTGAACTTGGAGTCATTTCTTAACTTCTCTGTGACTGATGTTGTTCATCTTGTTCAAGACAAAATCTGGATACTGATACTGATTTTATTCAGGTTATTGAAATAGGGAGAGCACTCGAGATCTGAACATCAAAGTGTCTCTACAGGGTGGTTTTACTCTAGGTTTTTACTCTTTACTTATACAGAGAAGGGTAGACAGGTTACTGGTGGGTGGATTTACAGTTGGGATGGTTTTGCACTCAGTGTAAATCTCAGTCAATGAGCTGAACAGGAAATGTTTATCTCTCTCTAACTGGTTTGGGAGAGGGTGGCAAACCGTTCTAATCTCAGCTAATCGACCATGAGAGAAGAGTGGGAAATTGAAAGGTCTGCATCTGGCCTTGTTAGCAGGTTCATGCCAAAGGGGAAAGGTCTGAGTTCATCCTCGTCACAGGTAAACAAGGGGCTCATCTTGATGCTGGGCACAAATAGGGTTGCATATTCAGCAAATAAAAATACAGGACAAAATAATGTCTTATATGTTCAATAAAATAACGGAATATTTGGGATCTGCTTATACTAAAAAGTTATCTGAAATTTAAATTTAACTAAGTGTCCTATATTTTGTTTGGCAACCCCTGGCACACAGTTGTGTTGACAATAAATGTTAACTTATTATTATGGCCAGGAATATTTATTTTTAATCCATATTACCTGAATAGGAGGTAGGACTCTCTTCTGGCTAGATACAGCCTTTCTTTGAAGGCAATCTCAGTTCTCACAAGGGCACAGGCAGGGCTCGGTGCTGGGGAGACGATGGCCACAGCCCATTTAAGGGCTTCTTCAAAGGCAAGGTCACCTGCCTTCTCCATGCCCTCTTCCCTGTCTCTGGCCTTGGTAGTCTCCACCTTCTTGGAAGCATGGAGGAGGAAACAGGAGGCTCCCACCACTCCCGAAGAGGAAGGGAGGACTTTTCTCGTCTATGCCACCTCCCCAGCCTCTAGGCCAGGGTTGGGGGACTAGCAGGTGCTCATTCAGTGCTGGTGAACTTTAGTTCAGAAGCAACCGGTGCAATGAGAGGGAGGATTTGTGCGTGTTTTATTTTCGAAAATCCAAATTTCACACGGGGGAAAAAAAAAAGTTTCTCTAACCTGCCTGGAAACTGCTGCGATGGGGAGGAACCCTGGTGCCCGGAGCTTTGATGAAGATCTTGGGCGTCGTTTTCGCTTCTAAGGTGGCCCTAGGTCCTTCCTGTAAAACGGAAGAGCCGCGCCTATCTCTTTTTCCAGAACACCACACTGCATTGCCTGTTTCTTTCTTTTTTTATAGTTTTGCACCCGCTACCCATCGCCTGCTTTCTCCTCGAGACAACCAGCTCCTTGAGGTTGCGGGCCGAGCTCCTCCGGCCCATCCCACAGCCAGGCACGGCGGCTGGAGCAGCGTCCGTGGGAATGAACGCGTGAATGGGGAGTCGTGGGGAGCAGGACCGTCGACGCGGACGTCGCGCGCGTGAACCGCAGCTAATCACGAGGCCGGGAACCCTCGTTTCCGCCGCCCGGAAGTTCCGGGGCCGGAGCTCTCGCTTTCCTCCCAGAATGCTCCGCGCCGGCCGCGGCGGCGCGATTGGCTGCGCCGCCCCACGTGACGCCGGGCAGGCGGCGGCGGTTGCCTGGGTGATGACTGGAGAGGCCGCGGCCGGGCTGGGTGAGCGTGGATGCCCGCGGCCCCGCTGCAGGTAAGTGCGTGCCCAGACGCGGCGGGACCATCCCCGAGCCCGCCGTCCCAGTGCGGGGAGGAGCAGCGGCGGGGGCGGGAGGGCCGAGGCT